GTGACTTTCGCTCACGACTTAGACACATAGAGGCTTCAAACACATTTTCAGAGTAAGGGATAAAAGGTTGGAGCAGGAAAGAGAGAGGAAAAGGGAAGGAAATTATGATGGGAAAAGCTCTGGGAACAAGAGACAGGGCAAAAGAGGAGTGGAAAAGAAACTGAAACAGAGGAGAGAATGAAGGTTGATGAGAGGAAATGAGCGACTGGGGAGTATTGCGTATGGAGACATTTCAAGGAAGCAATGGCGAGAGATGTTAAGGGTGGAAAAACACAGAAGGACAAGTGCGAGAGTTTGCACTTGCACTGTGAGCGAGCGAGAGCTACGTTAAAGGTGGTGGGCTGAGAGATGAGAGGCCGAGAGAAAGACAAAAAGAGACAGGACAAAGCAGCAGCAGCGTTTCATGGAGAGCTGGAAACAGAGGGCGGGCGGACAGGCGGGTGGGCGAGCGAGCGAGCCAGAGGGGAACGAAGAGAGTGAGGTGGGGGCGGGGCTTGCGAGCAGTCATAGCCAGTTAGAGGCTGGCGTGGTGCTCTGCAGGGTGAATCTTACCCTGGCAACACAATAGAGCGAGAGAGCGAGAGGGAAAGTGGGAGAGAGGGAGACAGCGGACAGGTGAACAGATGGCTGACTGAGAGACAAGCTGATCAGTGCACAACAGAGGGGTGTGTGTGAGTGTGAGCGAAAGAGAGAATGTGAATGTAATGCAATGTAACACAAAATGTTCAGTCTGAGAGAGAGTGGGAAAACAAACAAAGAAAGTGAGAGAGGGGGAAAGATGCCCATGTTTACACTGTAATGTTCACAAAATATCAGTGGAGTTTACATGAGAGAAAGACAGAGAGGCAAGCCTGTGATGTCCAAAAAATATCAAGTGTGTGTGAAAGCAAGTAGAGACAGTGTGAGAAGGAAGCCTACTGTACGTCTGTTTGCATCCATATGTCAGTGTGTCCATTAGGATTGTTGCTTTTTATATGAATTTGAAAGTGTCAGATGGAGAGGAAACAAAGGAATATTTGACCAGTGGTGATCCGTTCAGATTTTTGATTTATGGGTCGGGCGTTTTGTACTTCAGTGGAACTGAAATGCAGTGTCATTCTGACCTTATTCCATGGCCTGCTTCTTTGGCAGAAAATAGAGTAAGCTAGCAATCTCAGTGGATAATTACGGCCTCAAATTAGGAAAAGCAATAAGCAGAAGCATTTAGACTTCAGTACTACATGCTGAAGAAGTTACAGATGAAGGTAAGTTTGTATGCCAACTAACTGGTGAATCTATTGCCACGATGGCATAAAGACAATGAAAATGAATGAACACTGTCCTTATTGGAAGCATTAGTGGAAGCATTGTAAGAAATGTTTTTATTGTCCTTTGGGGGAAATGATGTTTGTGTCAGAGTTAATAACACATGGCGCCTTAATAGCATATGCATGATAGCTGCATCTTCATGACAAATAATGCCAGATTTAATCAAGTACATAAATTCAAATGAATCACACTTAAAATGGGACGATTTTAAGAAGATCGATGGCATTTAGGGAATTTTGTCCAAACCCCAAAGACAGTTGCATGTTTGGTCTTATTGTCATTATTTTTGTTCTTATTATTTAAAAAAAAAAAAAAAAAGTATATGATCACCAAATCCATTTGTATTTTGGCCCTGTTCATCATATCAACTCGAATGAGGACTGATATTTGACGACGTTTTGGTCGCAGATCTATGAAAGTAGGATCAAGGTTTAATTGAACTAAAGCTTAAATTGAAGGAGATTAATTATTTGGTTGGTGTAACCATCTACCTTTAAATTAGGCTTAGGAAATGCAAAACTGGAACTTTGTCTCTCCTCACAAGTATCAAAGTACAAATGTGTGTCACTACATGTGAACAGTGCACCAACATGGCTCCAGTGTCATCACAGTTTTGTTTGCAGGCTCTTTATCTCTTTGTGTCCTGACAGTCAGGGCAGGAGGTCCACGCTTCTATCACGTCCTCCACACAGCCCTCTGTCACATGCCGTCATTGTCAAGTTGAAAGTTGTTCTATTTTTATTTATTTTATGTAGTTCTTTTATTCTCTCAATTTTTAGGTCAGTGCGCACACACATCTGCCTCAGCAGAGTGTGTTTTCTATGAACTGTGCGCAACAAAGCACATGGTGGCTGCTCCTGTGTGTGAAATTTACATTAAGCTGCAGATCAGAGCACTTACTTGTTCTGGTGAGAGTTAACAGCTGAATCAGGAGACTGTCTCCATGTTGGAACAAATCTTTCTAATAACCCGTTTCTGTGGGTAGATAAAAAAGCAGCTTTGACACTGCGATAATAATAATGGCTTTGGTTTTTAATGAGATTCATATCAAAGAGCAGTATTGTTATTAACACTGAAAGTCTTTTTACCCTTACATCCAAATGGCATCATTACCCTCTTGCCCTCACCTGTTTTTAGGATTTCAGGCTAATACATCAAAAATGAAAAGAATCTCTGTCTCTTCCTCCTCGGGGTTTAGTCTGGAGCTCTCGATACAACGACTTCCCGCCAGCTTCACTTTAGAGGCTGAATTGCATGCAGTTGAATCATTCTCACTTAACAATGATTGTGTGCTGTGCACTCATGTAACACATGGTTAGGTTTTAATCAGACCGCCACTAGACTATAGTCGCACCTGACACGGCAAGTGCTTGTTAATTAAAGAAAGTAAAGGGTGCATGAGATATTGAATATAATATCTGTTGGGTGATACATGTAACAGTGCCCTGCATTATATGTTGTGTGTAATTGAATGTCAAAAGATGCCAGTGGTTTTATTTGTTTTACATACTGAACTACAAATTAGGTAGACTACATGTTTTTGTTCAACCCCCAAATTACACTTACATATGAAAAAGGACTGTTTCACAATACTGTGGAAAAACTATGCCCAACCCTATGATTCAGTAGCTTGTAGAGCCATTCCTAGCAGCAGTAACTTGAAGTAATCACTTTCCGTGTGACTATGATTCTCTCACATCGTTGTGGAGGAATTCTGGCCCACTCTTCTTTCCAGTGGTCCTTGGGTTCATTCAGGTACGAAGGCATTTGTTTATTCACACCTTTCAATGAGGTTCCATCACAGCATTTCAGTGAGCTTGAGGTCTGGTTTTACTGCACCATCGAGACACCAGATTTGCTGGTGTACTTGGAATCATTGTTCTGTTGCATGACCCAGTTCTAGCTGTTTAATCATAGTCGACTCAATCACTGAAAAATGCCCTAGTCCCATATCTGCAGAACAAGCCAGAATCATCACTGTTAGTATTTGCTCTGTGTTCATATGCTGTGTTTGGTTTTCTACAAATGTGGTGCAATTTGGCCAAACATCTCCACACCTAAGTAGTTTTCTCCCAGCAGCCCTTCAAAACCAACCATAATCATTCAGTGTCTTTGTAATTGTAAAGTCGTGACTTTGGCCTGTAGACTCTGAGATGTAGCTCTTGTTGTTCTCTGTGCTTTCCACGGTCTCACTTTGGGGGGGAATTCGCTGGGATGCTCACATCTGTATGCCTGCTTTTATAGAGGTGCTCACACTTGCTGATGATCATCTAATCAAGCACATATGATTAGCAGCACCTTAATCTCATAATACCAATGGAAGCAATAAGAGCTTACTTAGTTTTTCACTTTTTTCACATGACTGCACATTACAGTTAATACTAGAAACTAGATTTACGAGCTTTTAAAGAAATTCTTTTCCTGTGATTGCTTGTTCATTAAACAGCCACTTTCCTATGACTTAATGATGCTTCTTTTTTGTAAGACACTGAAGGTCATTTGATAATTCTTGAAATCAGTTGATTTCTACAGAGTGCTGCTTAAAATATAGTGCTTCGCAGACAGATGCCCCCTCCCCTCCTTTTTCTTTTTTTTTTTTTTTTATTTTTTTTATTCAATAAAAAAATGTTTTGGATGGAATGACTTGCTGGAGTGAGAACTAGAGTCTGTTTTCTTTTCTTTTTTTTGACCATGGTTATAGTCTATTTTTCCTTTGGGATAGATTTCAAGGCGAGGGATTTCTTTCTTTTCGCACCACTCAAGGCTAAAGCTTGTATTTGGACCACAGTAGGATCTCCAGCTCCAGTTTAAGATCCATTTTGCTACGAGGATCTCTCTGCTTGGCTCTGTGGTCAAGGGCCCACCAGGCAAAGCTACTTAACAGCAAATCTTGTTTAGCACAATCCTCTCAAAATAAGAGCCTCTTTATCTCCCTCTCTCGCCCGTCGGTCTCCCTCTTCCATTTCTCGCCCTTTCCAAAGTGTGCGAACACTGACGCAACCTGTCTGCCGTTAGCTGAAGTGCTAATACCAGCACATGCTTCCTAGCTCACCCTTTACCCTTTTGCTTTACTTTACCACATTCCTCAGTGCAAAGCTTCACACCAATTACTAACACTGTTGATTAGCCAACGTGTGCACAAGTGTGATGCCTCGCTGTATCTTCTGACATGCACATAGTTTATTGGCCTTGTTCTCTCAGACCACATCCTCTGATTTGAAAGCTTTCTGCGGTTGGAATAAGACTCAGTAGTTTTTCAGCCCTTTAAACCATAACTTCCTGAGTGCACCTGCTGGATAAGCAAGTACAGTTTCTTCCTTAATAACTTGCTTTCAGGTGGGTGGCAGATGTTACGAACTTTGACCTCACAAATCAACAGAGGATTTTCAAAGGTTGAAGTTGAGAATGTGTGTTCTGTAAGGCAGCTTTTCTGCTCACAGAAGGTGCCGCAAAGAAAAAAAGACAAACTCTTTTTATGTCATCATCAGGGTCAAATTGTTCCATCTGACCTTAGCTGGCTCATGTTTATACAATGAATAGCGTAGGAGTCAGCACATTTTATGCAATCAAGATGTTCATTTGTGTTTGAGAAATGAAAATCTTTCACTGTGTGCTAATTCCAATATGTGCATGGAAAAATGAAATGTAAATGTGCTTCCTTCTCCTCCTCTACCCCTCTTTAACCGCTTCAGACGTTGCGAAAGAAAGGCTTTAACGGTTGCAACAGCCCTGAGCCCGACGGCGACGACTCCATCGACCAAAGCCCGCTAAATGACCGCAAGACCGAGGACCTGGACAGCCTCTTCAAGCGCTACGGCGTGAGTACAATCACATTTTTGTCACCTTATCTAACCTACCCTTTTCTTCTTCTCCCTTTTTTCTCTACTTTCCTCTCTCTCTCTTTCTCTCTCTCTCTTTCTCTCTCCCTGTCTGCCTTCTCTTCTTTTGTTTGGGGATCGAAGGCTCTGAACAAGAAAGAGCACCGGGACTCTGAGAGCCCAGACCCCGAGGAGCCCTTCTCCCTCACCCCCCGCACTGAAGAGAAATACAAAAAAATTGACGAGGAGTTTGATAAAATGATGCAGAACTATAGGCTGTCAGTGAGTACCTCCCACCACTCTGCGTAACCCTGCCCCCTCTTCATGTTGGTACCTTGCTGCTGCCGCTGACCGGACAACCGGAGATTTCCGGCTGCTGATGGTGGCCTGACTACTCACAGAGCACTCGCCTTCACCATTCCCCACTCCTTTACCTTCTCTACTTCACCGCTTACCAATAGCACCTATCCCCATCCCCCAAATCACTACCCACAACCACCCCACCCCACTGATGGTGTGTGCTTCAGCAAGAAATAAGAGCAGCCAAGTTCATAAGGGAAGCCTCTTAAAAGTAAAATTTTAACTAATGTTCACATTCATCATTAATTAATGGAATGGTATTTTTTTTTTTTTTTGTAAGAAAGCCTAAAGTTGTGTTTCCAATGTTGTTTGGTCTGTTCAACAACCAACACGAATATAATAACTTTAAAGTAACATAGCTCAGATAGACATAATTTATGGGGTACATGGAGAGTCGTTTTCTGCAGTTAAATTTCCTAGGACTCATAAAAAAGACAAATAATATTCTTTTTTTGCTGTTTTGTTTTGTTTTTTGCAGCACTGCGCATGTGTAAGACAGAAAGTGATCCTTAAAAAAGCAGCATGACACCAAATAGGGCATGCTAACTGTGATTATTCATCTGAAGTTACAGTCATCACAGTGAAGCACATTCTCAGGAGTATTATGGCTTTTAATACAATGTTTCTGATGCCTCTGCAAGTTCGCAAACGTACAAGAATAAACAACAGAGGGAGAGGAGCGATAACTAGGTCCCTGGTTCTCACAAAAGTTGGCATAGCAACTAATATTGCAAGGGGAAATCATGTTTTATGGTAATAATCAACACGTTTGGAGCATGCCTTCGAGCAGTCAGATTTTTTTTTTTTTTTGACTGAATGCACCAATTGTGTAATACTTAGCAACATTAAAGAAAGAGCGTTGCAATTTCAGATAGTCTGTATCCACCAGGGCTGTGTCTGTTTCTCAGATAACACATAGAAAGCCAGAGTGCAGTTGATAACCGGCTGTTATTAGCAGCATTACTGAGGTCACTTTAGTCCCAGTGTAGTCCTGTTCCTCCGATGGGCTCCTGACATTATCCAGGTTCTGCCTCCTGACTGGCGCTCTGCCAATCCCCTTTTACCGCTCTACTTCTTTGCCAATTTCTCTGTGATTCATTTTTTCCTCTCTGCTCAATAATGCCATTAATGTCACTTTAATGACTAGCACTTAATTTACAGCTCCTCTTCCTGTCTGCCGGCCCCCTGATTGGTCGCTTGGGATGGGACACAGTCACTTTGAGGTTCTGCAGAATAGTTAGGCAGTAGTTGTTTACTACAGTCACACCTTTGGTGTTACACCTTTATGGAGGGTGGAGGCGTTTTTCTTTTTTCTTATTGTTGTTCTTTACTGTATTAGGCTTGTTTTGTGGTATGCATGACTAGTCTCATAATCATGCTGTAATTGTAATTGTAATTGTTCATATGTTTATGAAAATAGGACTGTGAAAAGCAATATAATTATGAACAATGTATAATGTATGCATTGTCAGCTACATATCTAGTTTACAGCTAGAGCGATGGAAAGACTATGCCTTCGCCTGGTTTTCAGTTTAAAGGCTTGAAACACACTATTTGTTAAATTAAAAGCAGTTTTATGGACAAAACTAGTTTAAAAAAAACACACTGGTGGTTTGGAGGGAAGAAAAGGCTTTCTTCAAAATGACATCAAGTGCTAATGTTAATATTAATTTACTAAAATCTCACATACATCAGAGCATAATGGAGAAAATGAGCTGCCTCTCAGATTAATCAGCTCAGTGAATCTCTCCCCTCCTGATATCCACCCTGCCTCCATCAGCCTCTCTGTGCTGTGTGAGACAAATAGCTCTGAAAACACTTTCTCAAAAGAGAAAACCACAGAAGAAGAAGAAGCGGATTCAATCTACTGCACTTAGAGAGCTACAGCTCTTGGCTCATGCCATTTGTATGCTAGCGTAACGCTGCTAGCAAATGACTCTAGCGACAAGCTGCCCCGACATCACTCTGCCCCTCGGTGTCCCAGTCAGCCTGCCTACCTGTCTGGTTTTCCAGCACACCTTTCACGGTCAACCAGTAATCAGAAACATGCAGCACCACCTGCCACTCCTCCCCTCAGCATCATAATCCCCAGCATGACAGATAGGGGCCGGGATATACAAGCTTAATCCCACTTGTACTCAAATACCTCCCAAGGTAGGAAGAGAGTGGTGAGGGAGAACGGGCAGGACACTTGGCTAAACGAGCCCCCAGCTAACGTATCTTTTCCTGTTAAACTGGCACTGTAGCAAGAGAAAAGAGCTTTGGGTTTTTGTTTTTTTTCTCCTAACCGGAGGGCCCCTGGTTTGATCCTTTTCTGGCTCTGAGATTCTGGGCCAGGAAATTGAATAAGAAATAGATTTCTGCCTTTTAACAACCACCTCCATGGTGCCTTTCAGCAAGAAGCTGAATGTTTTGTCTCCTGTATAAGCTTGGTATGAATGTCAAGTGAAACATGGTGTTATTGAAACTGCTGCACACTTAATCACATCTAATTTAGTTTTGAGATTAGTTTAGCTTTGAATTTCATGCCATGAAAGCATGAGGACTCTCAGCATCCCTATTAATAGTTTCTGTTAAGAGCTGCAAATAAAACAATTTTCAGTGAGAATCAGATGTTTTGGAGAAGGTGAGCCGCGAGTCATTCAGCCTCTTTTTATTTATTTAGGATCAAATATTGGTGACGTCGGAAAGAAATTAGAGTGAGGGGGGCATAGAACTAAACAACTAAAGCTAATTTACTGGTCAACTGCTGGGACATCTAAAGGTCCGTCAAACACTTTTCCAATGTTGCATCTGTGTTCAGATCTGCAGCCTCTTACAAATACGATGCGACAATCCTACAGTTGAAAAAGGGGAAAAAAGAGAAAACTTTCAAAGGCTTTCAGGACAAGAGGGAGGAAAAGGGAAACTAGGCCATGAGTTTAATTCATTCTGATTTACCCTTGCATCCAGGAAACACACCCTTGTTGAGAGAGCTCCTCCGAGGGAAAATAGGTTAGCCTTCTCTCCCCTCTTTTTGTTCTCTTCACACAGAAGAGGCCTTAAGCTTCCTCACATGAGCCTCTGGAAAAGCTCCTAGTCAATTATTTACCTAACAGGTTCTTGTTATTTTTTTCTATGGTTCCCATCCTCTGTGCTAAATCCACAGGATGAGGAGCAGTACCCAGTTAACCCTCCTCTCTGCAATTAGGAGCAGCAGTGTTAAATGGAGTCAGAGTGGGCAGATGTAAATTCTCTTGTAATTTGCCAAAGACATGGATTAATTCTCAGTGTAGCACAGTGGAGAGCAGGGTCAAGACAAATTTAAAATTCATATTTACAGAATAAATGAAGAGGTTTTGGAGTTATGTCACCAATCTCCTAGCAACCAGAGGCTGATACAGATATGAAGGTCTTGTGGAATGGTGGCGAGCAGCAAACAGTCGATGGCTAAATGTATTACAAAGTACCAATAAAGAGACAGACAGCTGAAGAGGATTGTTTTTTAAGGTATGCATGGTACTCTTGAGTCATTTGTCATTTTTCATATTCAGTCAGGATAATAGGAAGTTGGTACAGAAACATGCAATTACAAGCTTGGAAGGCAATATCTGGTATAACTACTAAACTCTCTTACGCAAGCTTTCTTAGAACTTCTTTAAGTAGTCGTCAGGAATAGTTCTCCAGGTTTCTTGAAGGACATTCAAAGCTCTTCTTTGAATGTGTTCTGCCTTTTGATTTCTGTTAGGGTGATCCCACACTGCTTCAGCAGTGTTTAGGTGTTTGGAGGCCAATCCTTGACTTATAGTGTTCTAGTGTACATTGTTCTATTCAGCTAGACGCCTACTGTAGATGTATTCTACTGAAAAATAGTGATTTTACCAATCAGATGCTTTCTAGATTGTATTGCATGGTGGGTCATATTTTTTTGTGTTTCTTTAGTTGAAATTAAATCCAGCCCCAAACCATGATAGAGTGTCCACCATGTTTTACAGATGGCCGTACATGTAACTAACATACATTTGAAGCAAAGATTTTAAGTTTTGATTCATAAAAGCTGTGGCCACTGATTTTTCAGTCCAGTCCTTGTCTTATTTGCTATACCTCAGCTTTTTATCCCTCTTTTATCCTTTTTTCCCTACATTCAAAATTTTTGGTGAATCACCTTGTTTGTGGAAAAAATGCTGTTTTATGCCTGCCAAATATATTACTTTTGAGAATCTTCTGTAGTTCAACTGTTAAATTTGGGAACAAATTATGTTTTTGCAAAAGACTGCTGATAGATGATTGATTGATACAACACTGGTTCATACCTTGGCTTAACCTTGTGTTTGAATGATTCATAGGTCAGTTTAAAGTGGCTTAAACGATATTTATAATTATTATATTATTATCAAATCCTATTTTTCATAATTCCAAATCACCACAAATATACCATCAAGGTCACATTGTCTTCAGTGATATTTTCTGTCCTGAATGCTATTACTTATTGTCAATTTATTTAAAACCACAGTTCCATTATTCCAACTTTAAATCTGTAAATACAGACTGCAGTCCATCTTTCTCTCTCTCTCTAACCGTAGTTTAACTGTAGCTTAGTAAGTTTTAGACTTGATTAATGGGAAAGTAGAGCGTTTCAGGCTCAGGTAAAGGTGACAGTTTGATTGCTTTGTATTTGGTAAAAATGGCCGTCAGCAAAGACTCCAGCTCTGTCCTCTGTTTGTAGTTGTTCTCCCAGTAAAAAAAAAATATATAATGAAATCTATTACTGAAAAGAAAAGAAAAAAACATTCCCAAGCACTGTAGGGATAAACTCTTTCTGGATCCTTATGCTCTGCGTTCATACACCTCTGGCCCACTTTGGATTAACCCCACCTCTGTCCACCCTTTCCCATTTATCCATGCCCTTCCTTTACCTTCTGCTTGGCCTGTGTGCAGTGGTGCAATGCTGTTAGCCGTTCTCTTCACTCTCCCTGTTAGCCACTTACAGCTCTCTCTGTACAGCCTGCTTTGCAAACTTCCTCTTTGTAGGCTGAAGAGTGAATTTTACATTTCACGTATTTGGAAGATTTAATAAAGATTAGTCATTTTTCAAGGCTAACATAGCGAATAAATTGAAAGGTTTTTTGTGGAACTATAATTTGTTGTTTGTTTTATGAAAAAAGGGCCAGTTTTTACTCTGTTTAGACTTTGTGTGACGAAAAAAAAACCTAATTATAAAATAATGAATAAAGATGATTATTTTTGTTGTTGAGGTTTATACAAAAAGACCACTTTATTAGTTGGGAACAAGTTGTTTAGTTGTTTGAGGAAAACCTATGATCAAGTAACAATTTTTGAGATTTGACTGAATAAACTAGCAATTGGTTTGGTTTCAGTCCCATAACTCCCTTATTTTCGTGTGATCTCCAATGCAGTGCAGAGGGAAAAGAGGTAGAGATCAAGGGCAGGAAGGTGCCCTCGTCCTCCTTGATATTAAACTGGGTCCCAGGCAGTTTGAGTACAGTACAGTGCAGCGGTGGCCCATATTCTATATATAGAAGTCCTTATTTCAGATTGAGTTGGAACAGGGTGAAATGGGTCGGACTGCTGGACAACCCGAGGTCCTTGCCCCTGATTTTCCTTTTTTTTCTCTCTTTTTTTGCACTCGGGGACGTCTGGTCATCCACTTCATCAACTCAGGTGACGAGACTGATCATTTCTTTAAAAAAAAAAAAAAAGTGCAGTTGATACGTTTTTGAACAGAAAGGTGGACTGTCTTCAGGATTTTTGAGAACAAGAGTAATATTGTAAAGCCCATTTTGGTAGGCAAGCTCCTGCTGAATATTTCCTTAAATCCCCAGTGATGAGCACATGTCAGTGGGGGTGGTGGGATGCTGCTGGAATGTGACAAGCACGCTATGAAATGTCACCAATAACCTGATGCAATAACCTGCTGCTGCTGCGACAAGTTTTAACCTGGCATGAAAAGTGAAAGGCGAGACAGCTTTTTGGCCTTTTCACCAAGTCACCTTGCATGACAACTGAGTGAGTGAGTGTGCGCGTGTCTGCGTTTGGGTGCGTCTGCGTGTGTTTGAGATTTGATGTGTGTGTTTTTGGTTGTTTTGAAGAGTTTTATTTCCAAAACAAAATTGTGTTCTTTTAAAGCACAGTAGAAACAGCAAACATCAGACATGTCTGATACTTTTGAATTGATTTCCTGCCTCAAGAGTGAAGCTTGACAAACAAGCAAAGAATCAAAAAATCTTCACCGTGACAGAATACCAATGCAGTGTAGGTAGATTTCAGTTATTGAGGATCATTTTTAATATCTTACGGGTATGATTTAAAAGTTATTACTAACTGCAAAGTTTTAGATCTGAAACATATGATATGATATTCAGAATTCATGGACTCCTGTTTATTGTTCATTACTTTAGCCATTAAGGCTAATGATGATTTCTTTGAAAAACAAAGATCTACTTAAGAAGTTATTTTTGTGTCAGCATTTGAGCTTTTTGAATCTGATTTTCGTTAAACAGGTGAAAATATCTATCAGTGTAGGAAACAAATATTCCCAATGCTAATCAGTTTTTTGCAATTTTTTTTTTGTATACTATTTTTATTCTTGTGCACTGACCTGTTTTGGAATACAAAGCTCTAGTTTTGGGAAGAGTGATTTTTTTTTTCCCCCTCTGTATTTATTTATTTAATTATTAACTGTTTTTTAACTTTTAAAAAGTGGAGACATCAGTCATTATGCAAGGATTAAAAGTTCCTTCTTCGTATGTATATTGGATGTACAATAAAATTTACAATACAAACATTTTTCTTTAATTAAAATCAAATGTTGCAACAGCACTGAAAGCTGCCCAGCAGAGCAAAAGGAGACAGTCTTGAAGAGGAGCCAAATTCAAATCAGATAAAGTGTTTGGGGTAAAAAAAAAAATGCTACTTTTCAAGTAATTCTGAACTACTGAAATAATTCACTACTGTATTATTTCACAACAAATTGCCCTTTAAACGAAAAAGATATTTATCAAGGTGAAATAAGCTTGAAAGAATAGCTACAAATTCTTGAAACAATAATTAGCGTGCAAAATAGAAGATGTTCCACTTGCGTTTCTTTTTATGTTGTTGCTTTAAAGTAGGACTCTCCTTTGTTGTGTAACT